TGAACACTTTGCACTATCGCAGTTGTGGTTGGTTCCCTCTTGGCTTACAGGGGAGATGTGGGGGGTGGTCGTGGGTGGTGGGGGAACACAAAGGGGGGAGGGGTGTATCATCCGTCGATCGAATCAAAGAAACGTCACGTGGGGAATTGTGAATGGAGCACAAATCTGCGGCTGCGTGCAAGTCAACTTGGTTATTATTTTGTGCGCGTTTCAACGCACAGTGCAGACCTTGAATGCGTCCGTGAGGAGGCCTTTACAGCTCATTGGCTTACTCCGTTACGAATGTTCAGATTCTGGCATCACGCGTGACATGCCGGTCTCATCGCAGCGTTGGCCGACCATACTTCACCACGCTGGTCAGTACGGGGGGGGGGGGGGGGGGATGGTGGTGAGGTAGAGGCACCTGGGACCGGTTCCGGATATCGTTCGCGACTGACGCGAGCCGTGGGACCGGGAATCTCCGACGCGGGTCGCCAGGGTGCCGAACGCGGCGCGGTGCGTTTCGCCGCCGTGCCAATTGTACCGGGTGCACCAAATAAATAGTTGCGGAAACAAAACATTCACGTTCACCGACACGGCGGCACCGTTATACGTCACCAAAGCGCAAAAGGGCGTGGAAGTGGGGAGCAAAAATAATCAGCACACCCCCCCCCCTCATCGACAGGCTTTCACCCGGTCACATTTTCCAAATTTCCATTCTGTGAGTAAACCTCTCCCGTGTTTATTTCGCGCCGTCGTCGTCGTAATCGTCGTCATCCGTTTCCACCGGGGGTGACCCTGCCCTGGTGTGTGTTTTTAGTGGGCTGTCCTTCATCTCTCGGCGAACGCCAGAATGTTCATTCGTACCCGAGGAATCCGACGAGCTACAAAGCTCTTTTCATCGCGGGCGTCCGGTAGACTTTGCGTGCCGCGGTTGCTGTCGCCGGGACGGGAAAGCGCGACGTGGTCGTCGTAGTGGGGGGGGTGAGGGGGGGGGGCGGGGGGGTGAGAGAGGGGGGGGCGGGGGGGTGAGGGGAGGGGCGGCGGTGGGGAGTGAACCGAGGTTTTATCGGTCGCGAGCGCGCTTCCCCAATTTTTGGCTTGCGGGGACCCCGCGAGGAGGTCGGAGCGCCGCTGCACAAACGCCTGCTGCTGTATATTTGGAGTTTGCGTGTCTCTCTCTGTCATCATCATCACGGTGGCTAGGAGATGTTAACTACCTCGCCTGGTATACAGGAGGTCGTGGGTTCGATCCCAACCCTGTGACGCCTGCTGCTGAATATTTGGAGTTTGCGTGTGTCTCTCTGTCATCATCATCACGGTGGCTAGGAGATGTTAACTACCTCGCCTGGTGTACAGGAGGTCGTGGGTGCGATCCCAACCCTGTGACGCCTGCTGCTGTATATTTGGAGTTTGCGTGTCTCTCTCTGTCATCATCATCACGGTGGCTAGGAGATGTTAACTACCTCGCCTGGTTTACAGGAGGTCGTGGGTGCGATCTCAACCCAGACGCCTGCTGCTGCATATTTGGAGTTTGTGTGTCTCTCTCTCTCTCATCATCATCACGGTGGCTAGGAGATGCTAACTACCTCGCCTGGTATACAGGAGGTCGTGGGTGCGATCCCAACCCTGTGACGCCTGCTGCTGCATATTTGGAGTTTGCGTGTTTCTCTCTCTCATCATCATCACGGTGGCTAGGAGATGTTAACTACCTCACCTGGTGTACAGGAGGTCGTGGGTTCGATCCCAACCCTGTGACGCCTGCTGCTGCATATTTGGAGTTTGCGTGTCTCTCTCTCTCTCATCATCATCACGGTGGCTAGGAGATGTTAACTACCTCGCCTGGTGTACAGGAGGTCGTGGGTTCGATCTCAACCCTGTGACGCCTGCTGCTGTATATTTGGAGTTTGCGTGTCTCTCTCCCCGCGGTCACTTGGATTATCTTCCGGGTTCTCGGGTTTTTCCCTCCATATTCAGAATGAATAAAGCGCGTTGAGAGTATTTGGCTACTGCTGTACGTTTCCCAACGACAAGCCACTTGGTTGATCTGTCATTTGTGGTCGCCAGGTCGCTTCTGAAATAGAGGCCTTTGTAAAATAAAAAATATGAAATGCGGTGACGGTCACATCGAAAATTAAGTGGCGGTCAGGTCCTGACCATGCGCCATAGGTTCCTCCCCCCCCACCACCCCCCCACCACCCCCCCCACCGCCACCCCCACCGCTACCCCCACCGCCACTTTTCGGGTAAACCCTGGCTAGCGATGGTTTAGGAAGTTGCCAGCCCCTGTGGGGTGGCACGGTTATTATTCACCCCAAACGGAAACAAGACGCTGATCGTATCGTAACGGAGGCCTTAAAACACGCTCCCCCCCCCTCCCCCCGCCGCCCCTCCTCGTGTCCTCAACGCCACGTTAATTCAACAGGGAACTGAAGGACAAAGACTTCTCTCTGTCTGTCTGTCTCTCTGTGGCTCTCTCGCAAAATCCAAACGTGACCCCGAATAACTCGCCTAGCTAGCCCCTGCAGCTACGCGGCGCGCTGGAGATGCTCCGGCTCGACTGTGCGTCATCGTAAAATCATGTGACCCGCCCGTAGCCTTTCACGACCAAACGTGTTACGGTCGTCTCATCGGTTTAGCCTGCGGTCGCACCGGTGTGCACTGCAGCGCGTAGGCCAGGCTTTCCCCAAAACTCCTCCAGTCCTCGCGAGCCACCACCACCAGAACCACCAGCACCACCACCCACACCACCCACCACCACCACCATACCACCTACCCACCACCCACCCAACACCACCACCACCCACCACCACCACCCACCATCACCACCCACCACCACTACCCACCACCACCACCCACCACCACACACCACAACACACCAACACCCAGCAACACCCACCAACACCACCCACCATCACCCACCACCCACCAATACCACCCACCAACACCCACCACCACCACCCACCACCACCACACACCCACCACCCACCACCACCACACACCCACCCACCCAACACCACCCACCACCCAACACCACCACCCACCACCACCACCATCCACCATCACACACCACCACCCACCACGACACACCACCACCTACCACACACCCACCAACACTAACCAACACCACCCACCACTACCACCCACAAACCACCCACCATCACCCACCACCCACCACCACCACCACCACCACCACCACCACCACCACCTACCACCACCACCTACCACCACCACCTACCACCACCACCTACCACCACCACCCACCACCACCACCCACCACCACCTACCACCACCACCCACCACCACCTACCACCACCACCTACCACCACCACCCACCACCCAACACCACCACCCACCACCACCACCCACCACCACCCGAGTGTCTAGCGCGCTTACTCCCAATAAATACTACACGTAACGGCCACGTCAACAACACTGCCGCTCGGCCTACCACGATAGATAACAGCATCATCAGCCACGCTGCGACGCAATGCAGTCTAATCCACGTGTCCCCCTCTCCGTCTCCCTCCGAGTAACAACGTGCGCGTGTGAGTAAAAAACAAAATCGACTGCTTCGTCTAAAACGAATGCCGCTGAAAAACTATAAATAACGCTCGCCCACCCCAACCACCCCTCCCGCCGGCGATTAAACAAAACGTGGCTGGGGGGGGGGGGGCACCGGTGAACTCGCCTCCGCGTGGTTGACAATGACCCCCCCCCCTCCCGCCAATGTGGCCCAGCCCCCTACCACCGTGCCAAGTCCCGGTTCGTACCGCGGCCGTGGGCAGCTACGTGCTGTAGCCGCTGTCCCAGATTTTGTCGCCAAAACTCCGTGCGGTTTCAGCGTCGTGAGCGGACGCCCATCGAGAGAAGCCACGCGGCCGTCTGGAACGCCCTTCCTTCCGATATTAGGAAGCCACTGGAGCTCATGCGCCTTTTAAATCGTCGCGATTGAAAACTAATTTTTTGAGAACGGCTTTTGTGCGTTGGTTTGTTGTCCATCCCCCCGCGCACTTTCGATTAGCACGGTTGGCTACGTACGGTGCGAAAGAAGTTCAACATGCGTACGTACATTTCGATTTAAAGCTTCTTTCGTGACTGCAGGGATTCATCTTCTTGGTTCTTTCGGTAAAGTCACGTAGAAGGGAAGTAATAAAATAATAAAAATAAAACATAATAAAATAAAATTAGATTTCGATTTAAAGCTTCTTTCGTGACTGCAGGGATTCATCTTCTTGGTTCTTTCGGTAAAGTCACGTAGAAGGGAAGTAATAAAATAATAAAAATAAAACATAATAAAATAAAATTAGATTTCGATTTAAAGCTTCTTTCGTGACTGCAGGGATTCATCTTCTTGGTTCTTTTGGTAAAGTCACGTAGAAGGGAAATAATAAAATAAAATAAATAAAAACATAATAAAATAATTCTCACGACGTTTCGGCCACAACGCAAGCAGCCGTCCTCAGGTGGAGAGCAGGTCTGTCGGAAAGACAGTTGGAAAGACAGCGTCTCATTCAGACAGCATCTCATTCAGACGCTGTTTTTCCGACAGACCTGTTCTTCACCTGAGGACGGCTGCTTGCGTTGTGGCCGAAACGTCGTGAGAATTGTGTTTTATTAAGTTTTATTTGTATTATTTTATTATTTCCCTTCTACGTGACTTTACCGAAAGAATCAAGAAGATGCGTACAAGAATTGCCATATACCACTGAAAGGCCTGACATTTGTTTTGAAATGTCCTAAATAACGTGGTTGCGATGGAAGTTTAGCGTACATACATCCTGGAGAAGCTCGCGTCCATTCGCGGCCTGGCGACGCTCGCTCGCTCGTATTTTGCCGCACAGGGACGGCTGCCACTTTGGACGTGGGGAGTGATGGGAAAGGGGGGGGGGTCCCCTTGGCTGGCTGGTGAAGAGGCATTGAATTCGGGGGGGGGGGGGGGGGGCGTTGTATTGTAAAAGAGCGCCGCTGTGCATGCGAATATCTTTCTCCCCCCCGTCCTTGTTGCGTTTTTGCGAGCAGCGCTTCGACAACGAGGGTTACCTGGCGATCCACCAACACAAGCACGAGATGACGCTGAAGTTCACCGCTCCTCGCAGCGACTCGGTCATCGTGTCTGGTCAGTACACGCGCAGACACGCGCGGACATGCCGCACAAGACAAAGATCCCCCCCCCCAGCCCCCCCCCGGTGTGTCTCTTGAACTGGAGGAATCCGATGAGCAATGAAGCTCTTTTTCACAGATGTCCAGTGTGGGAGAGTCGGCAAGTTCCAACAACAAACGTTACAAATTACAAATCGGACTCTTTGGGGCAAGCGCTGTTAGCGAGCGGCACCTACGACGGCCGGCACGGCACACGAGGGGGCCGGTGGCCAGGACCACACCCGGCCGCCTTTGTCTCCCCAGTACCGATGTTCTATACACACTGCACCGGGCACGTGTTTGAGGTTGAGTCAACCTAGAGAAGACTCAGGACCGGTTCAGATAATAGTCACTGCTGTTGGCGACCGTGAGCGGGAATCGAACTGCCCACGCACACTAACTAGCCAACACACACATACAGCTATCAGACTATGAGATGCACCCACAACTTTTTGCTTTTAAAATGCAGTGATAAAAGTGTAGATTTGAAGCTTTCGTGACTGCAAGGATTCATATTCTTAGGTTTTTTCGGTAAAGTCACGTAGGTAAAACATCAAAATATTTTTTTTATTAATTTTGATGTTTTACCTACGTGACTTTACCAAAAAAACCTAAGAATATGATTAAAGTGTGTTGTATCTTCCAGAGAATACGATGTTTATCGCACGTAAAACATAACATCCACGCAATAATCGCACCGCACACCGTACATGCACAGGATGTACAAAACGCACACGGACGCAAAATAGATTGCGTGGTTTTTTTATTATGAAAGGTAAGTCGGTGTCTGTCATGCTTTGGGGGGGGAGGAGGGGGTGTCTTACTCTGTACTGAGAGCTTTGCTTGGTGAGAGAACGATCTGCGTGCGTGTACGTGTGTGTGTACGTTTGTGTACGTACGTGTGTGTACGTACGTGTGTGTGTCCGTGTGTGTGTGCGTTGCACTATGAACCTAGCGACCCGGGTTCGATTCCCGTTCACGGCCAATACCAGTGACGATTATCTGAACACGGTCCTGGGCCTCCCCTAGGTCGACTCGGCCTGAAATGAGTACCTGGTGCGGTTTGTAGTAAACATCGCCACCGGGGGAGACAAAGGCGATTGGGCGTGGTGCTGGCCACCCACCCCCTCATGTGCCGTTCCGGCCTTCATAGGTGCTCGCTAACAGCACTTGCCCCTACAGTCTGTTAAGGCTATACGGGGGATCTTTGTCTTTGTTGGACACTGATAGCGGTCAGCGCTACGAACCCGGCGACCCGAGTTCGATTCCCGCTCACGGCCACCGACGCCAGTGACGATTATCTGAACCGGGCCTGGGCCTCCCCGAGGTCGACTCAGCCTCAAATGAGTACCTGGTGCGGTGTGTAGTAAACATCGCTACCGGGGGAGACAAAGGCGGCCGGGCGTGGCGCTGGCCACCCGCCCCCTTCGTGTGCCGTGCCGGCCTTCACAGGTGCTGCTCGCTAACAGTCGCTTGCCCCCCTAAGCAGTTTGCTAAGGCCACATTGGGGGGTCGTTGTCGTCGCGTTTCATTCCGTACCGGAAGGTTTGCCGCGTGAGAGAACAATCTGGTCGCGCGCCGGATTCACAGGTTTCCTCCGCACCCCACAGGTGCCGCACTTGTCGTTAGTCTGTGGGTCAAGGGTCAAGGTGGCGCTCGCACCGGATGAAAGTTTCGCAAGGGGCCAAGGTGCAAAGTGACGCGGCGTTTTTCAGCAGTCGCGGAGCGCGAGCTTGCGTGGGGCGGTGGTGAGAGTTGGCGACCGTGATGGATCGAGCGTGGGGGGGTTGGGGGGGTTGGTGGGTGACTGGGTGAGTAGGTGGATTGGTGGGTGGGTGACTGGGTGAGTGGGTGGATTGGTGGGTGGGTGGGTTGGTGGGTGGGTGGGTGGATTGGTGGCTGGGTGGATTGGTGGGTGGGTGACTGGGTGAGTGGGTGGGTTGGTGGGTGAGAGTGGGTGGGTTGGTGGGTTGGTGGGTGAGTGGGTTGGTGAGTGAGTTTTGGTGGGTTGGTGGGTGAGTGAGTGAGTGGGTTGGTGGGTGAGTGGGTGGTTGGTGAGGGAGTGGGTGGGTTGGTGAGTGAGTGAGTGGGTGGGTGACTGGGTTGGTGGGTGGGTGACAGGGTTGGTGGGTGAGAGTGGGTGGGTTGGTGGGTGAGAGTGGGTGGGTGACTGGGTGGGTGGGTTGGTGGGTGAGTGAGTGGGTGGGTGGGTTGGTGGGTGAGTGAGTGGGTGGGTCGGTGAGTGAGTGGGTGGGTTGGTGGGTGAGTGAGTGGGTTTGGTAGGTGAGTGAGTGGGTTGGTTGGTGAGTGAGTGGGTGGTTGGTGAGTAAGTGGGTGGGTTGGTGGGTGAGTGAGTGGGTGGGTGACTGGGTGGGTGGGTTGGTTGGTGGGTGGGTGACAGGGTTAGTGGGTGAGAGTGGGTGGGTTGGTGGGTGAGAGTGGGTGGGTGGGTTGGTGGGTGAGTGGATGAGTGGGTGGGTGAGTGGATGAGTAAGTGGGTTGGTTGGTGGGTGAGTTGGTGGGTGAGTTGGTGGGTGGGTTGGTTGGTGGGTGGGTGACATGGTTGGTGGGTGAGAGTGGGTGGATTGGTGGGTGAGAGTGGGTGGGTGGGTGAGTGGGTGAGTTGGTAGGTGAGTTGGTGGGTGAGTGGATGAGTGGGTGGGTGAGTGGATGAGTAAGTGGGTGGGTTGGTGGGTGAGGTGGTTGGTGAGTGAGTGGGTGGGTTGGTGGGTGAGTGCGTGGGTGGGTGACTGGGTGGGTGGGTTGGTTGGTGGGTGGGTAACAGGGTTGGTGGGTGAGAGTGGGTGGGTTGGTGGGTGAGAGTGGGTGGGTGGGTTGGTGGGTGAGTGGATGAGTGAGTGGGTGAGTTGGTGGGTGAGTGGATGAGTGGGTGGGTGAGTGAGTGGGTGAGTTGGTGGCTGAGTTGGTGGGTGAGTTGGTTGTTGCGTGAGCTGGACGCGAGGCTCTTCCTTTCGAAGTGCCGATCACGGAAGGACCCGCCGCGGGAATCCGGTGGTGGCGGCGGTGGTAGCGGCGGTGGCGGTGGTAGCGGTGAGTGTAGTGGTGACCGCAAGCGGGAAGTGGTCAGGGAGAGGTGGGCAGAGAGCCAAGGTGCTTCTCTTGTCGTCAATAGCTGGAGCGCCACCGGTCGGTGCGCTTGGCTACGTACGGCGCGAAAGAAGTTCAACGTACACCGGGCGCGGTGCCCCTTTACACCGCCTCATCGTGGCACCGTGCCGGCCTTAATAGGTGCTCGCCGACCGCGCTTGCCCGGCAACAGTCGATAGGGCTGGTGGGTAACGTGCCGTGCGTGGTTATCGCACGGCGCTACAAAGCCGACGACCCGAGTTGGAATCCCGCTCATGGCCTCTCTCCCGCGTCTGCTCGGGCTTTAAACGAGTAGCTGGTGTGGCGTGCAAACCGGCGAACATCGCCACTGGGGAGACAAAGGCGGCCGGGCGTGGTGCTGACCACCCACCACCCCCCCCCCCCCCCCCTCGTGTGCCGTGCCGGCCTTCGTAGGTTCCACTCGCTAACAGCACTTGCCCTAACCGGCTGTGAAGGCTATACGGGGGATTTTTGTAAGTGTTTTGGGGGGGGGGCATGGTGGGGGGGGGGTCTGTGGGCTCTGCTGGAGGTGACGAGGTTTATGAAAAGAGAAATAATTGGGTAAGAATAAATAAATAAATAAATGGGCCCCTCTGCCGTGAAATCCGGAACGCAAACACAAAACTAGACAAAGATCCCCTGTATAGCCTTTGCAGACTTTCGGGGCAAGTGCTGTTAGTCGGCGAGGCACACGAGGGGGGTGGTGGGTGGCCAGCACCACGCCCGGCCGCCTTTGTCTCCCCAGTGCTGGCGATGTTCACTGCACCCCGCATCGTCACCGACGTTGGTGACCGTGAACGGGAATCGAAAGCTCGGGCTCGCCGGGTTTGTAGCGCAGCGCGCTCACCTCCCTCTACGCTGCCACTCCCCACTAAAGCGCACACACTCGCACACACATACGCACACTCGCACACACACACACGCACACGCTCGCACGCGCACGCACGCATACGCTCGCACACACGCGCACGCACACATACGCACGCACGCACACGCACGCACGCATACGCTCGCACACACGCGCACGCACGCACTCGCGCACGCACACACTCGCGCACGCAGACGCACAAGCGAGTCCGTTAGGGTTTTGCGAACGCCGGCCCGGAATGCGAGCTGGCCTGCTCTTCAGCCTCGCGAGGGGCGCGTCTCACCATCCATCCCCCTCACCATCTCCCTCACCCTCCGTCTCCCTCACCATCCATCTTCCTCACCATCCATCCCCCTCACCATCCATCCCCCTCACCCTCCGTCTTGCTCACCCTCCATTTTGCTCACCCTCTGTCTCTCTCACCATCCATCTTCCTCACCATCCATCCCCCTCACCATCTCCCTCACCATCCATCCCCCTCACCCTCCGTCTTCCTCACCATCCATCCCCCTCACCCTCCGTCTTCCTCACCATCCATCCCCCTCACCCTCCGTCTTCCTCACCATCCATCCCCCTCACCCTCCGTCTTCCTCACCATCCATCCCCCTCACCCTCCGTCTTCCTCACCATCCATCCCCCTCACCCTCCGTCTCGCTCACCAGTAGTCTCACCGCCCGTCTCGCTCAGACCCCGTCCCCCTGCGGCGAGAGTCCCGACGCTCAAGTAGGACGCGACAATACTTTGCGATGCTCAACTTTAAAAAAAACCTTTCACTTTACCAGGTAAGGCCCCACTGGCTATCACAAATGACAGCTCAACGAAATGGCTCATCACGTGGACATTTGTAGCAGCCAAATACTCTAAACGCGTGCAGATGTTTCTTCCAATTGTGGAGTGAATAACCGGAGGACCCGGAGAAAAATCTACCGCGATGATGATGAGAGAGAGACACGCAAACTCCAAATATACAGCAGCAGGCGTCAGGGTGTGGATCGAACCCG